AACCCTTAACCCCTAAACCCCCTTAAACCCCAAACCCCTAGACCCAAGGCTCGCGGCTGAGGGCGCCGCCCTGGCGGCGCAGCTCAGTGTGGCCTCAGCCGGGCTTGCGGCCTCCCAGCAGCGTGCTACCGAGGCCAGGGATGTGGTGGGTTTAGGGTTTGGGGCTTGAGGGGTTTTGGGGTTTAGGGGTTTGGGGTTTAGGGGTTTGGGGTTTAGGGTTTAGGGTTGAGGGGTTTAGGGTTTAGGTTTTAGGGGTTGAGGGTTTGGGGTTTAGGATGTTAGGGTTTAGGGGTTTAGGGTTTAGGGTTTAGGGGTTTAGGGGTTTGGGGCTTAGGGTTTAGGATGTGGTGTGCGCAGGGAGCCCAATTTCCCTTAAATATGGAATATACCGAAAATCATATTAGGGACCCTACTCGTAGTACCATTTAGGGTATATTCCTTGATTTAGGGGTATTGGGTTCTCTGGGTAGGCATTGCTAGGGGTAGTCTGTTGTTTTTTAGCTTGCTTTTGGGAGATGCATCATTAATTTTCTGGGGATGTGTAGAGATTGCTAAGGGTATACAGGGGTTTTAGGGTTTAGGATTTAGGATTTAGGATTTGGCCAGGGATGTGGTGTAGGGATTGCTAAGGGTATTCTGGGTTTGTTTGGCTTTCTTTTGGGAGGTGTACTAGTATTTCATGGGGATGTGTCCGGGTTGCCAAAGGTTAACAGGGGCATAAAGTTTTTTTAAAGGGATATGTATAGATATCTGTACCCCTAAGGCTCCACGGACCTGTACTTTGAGGTTTTTTTGGGCCCAAAGACCATACTATAAAAGGCTTGTGGGCTAGTTTGAGCTGCAAGATAAGGATATACAGTAATATAGGGGTATAGAGTTAGTAGGGACAAATATACATATATATATATACAGAGACAGATAGATACGTGTATATATATATATGTATCTATATGTATATATGTACGCACAATCTACATAGGTTTAGGGGTTGTGGGTTTTGGTGTGTAGGGCTTAGGGCTTAAGAATCGGAGTGGAGTCTTGGGATTTGCGTGTAGAGGCCTGAGGGTGTAAGTTTGAGGCTTATTGTGTAGGGGTTAGGGTTTGGAGCGCAGGGTTGGGGTTCAGAGCTTAGTTGTACCCGGTTTGTGACCAGGAGCCCCTTTCCCTTGCCATCGAGTACACCTTTTTTTTTCTTCGTCGGCACCTACTTGGTAAGAACGAGATTCTCAAGTGCAATGTACATGGCAATGCCTATCTTGTTCAGGTGTACTATACAGATCAGATATGGGTATTAGCTTAGATGTGTAGACAACATCACTTGGGGTCTTGATTATTGTTTTAGCCGCCTAGCCGTGCGTTCGAAGACACCTGGAGGCAAGCGGGATAGGGTTGGGCTGCTCAGGCCGTCAACGAAGCACTGAAGCAGCAGAAGTTGCAGCCGCCACGCTGAATTTTTCCTTCTCCCAACTAGCATGGAGCCCCATCTGATAGCCACCTTTTCCGGGGGCATTAGTCTTTACAAGGCCTCTTTCTGAATGAGCTTCTTTTTCTTATGGAAGTATGTGGAGGAGCTGGAGGCGGGGTTTGCTTTTGTCTGAAGTCAGTGCAGTCAGAGGGGGGAGGTTGCTAACCAAAGAACCCATACCCTAAGGGTCCACACACCCAAATAGGAGGGTTTTACTATTTTAGGCTTTGAGGCCTTGGACCCTTAGGGATAAGATTCGCATGATAGATAGACATGGGGCTTTTGCTTGTGGGATTTCGGGAGCCAAAACTTCCCGATCATGCAGGGCTTTCTATGATCTTGTCCTGTGGTTATCCTGCTATGAAAGCGTATTAGCAATAATGGCAGTAATAATCATAGTCCCAACCCTTCCCCCACACTTAGGGAAAAACTCCACTAAGGTTCAAGGATGACATCACAAAGGTCAGCGAGGAGTTGGACAAGATGAACGGGGAGATCCTACAGCTCATCGATGATGAGTCCAACAAGGCAACGCTCTCCCAGGGTCTAGGCTTGAGGGTGTTTAGGGTGTAGAGGCTTAGCCCTACACCCTCAAACCCTAAAACCCTAAAGTTTAGGACTTGGGATTTAGGGGGTCAGTAGAGCTGGGGTTTATGGCATCTCTCCGTCTCGTTGTACTTCCCTATGAGCACGGTGTTGTCACAGTGTATCTTTTCGTGTTTCAGTTTACCAAATTCGTACGTTGCTGTATGAAAGCGCCTTAACCCTAAATTGTCCCAGGTTCAAGCATGTGGCGCAGGATCTACCCGGAATCTACTATGTAGTTAGGTCCTGTTGTTAAGTTGTGGGTAATGCGTTGTAGTCCTCGTGTAAACACCACAAGAAAGCCCAAAAGGAATTGCATAGGAGCTCATGGGTAGCTAGGGGAAGCCTAAGCTATGGAGTCCCCTTCAGTCCCGGATAGTTGCTACTATAGATAACTTTATCATAATATACCTTCCTTACCCAGGATACAGCAGGAGGAGGAACCATCTGCCAGGAAAAACGCCCGCAACCCCAGGCGCTCAAGGTAACTGCCAGCCGAACCCTCAGCCTTTTGACGGCTAACGCGAGGCGCCGACAATGGCCTATTGAAGCCTAAGACCAGGATTTGCGCAGCTGCATCCCTGAATTTTTCAGCCAGGGACTCACAAAACCCAGTCAGCCTCATAGTTCCCCTTAAGTAGAAAAATGTGGGGTATATGGGGATCTTATTATGAAATACCCAAGGCCGGATTCTATCTACTTGAAGGGGACTATACATCAGAAGCTTCTGCCACATAGTGCTTGAGCCCAAGCCCAGATTGAAAGCCCTGGGCTTCACCCATCAAACCTTCGACTCCAATTCAGAAGCCTTTAATCCTCGTCTGATGTATTTCCTTGTTCTCTACCAAGAACCAATAAGATTACTCCTTTGACCCTAACCCCCAAAAACCCTTAACCCTAAACCCCTAAACCCCAAACCCCTAAACCCTAAACCCTAAACCCCTAAATCCTTAACCCCTAAACCCCTAAACCCCTAAACCCGTTAACCCTACACCTTTGACAGGTGAAGGAAGCCCAGGTCGCTACTGAGAGCCGTATCGCCACGCTGGAATCCGGGTTCCCACTGGGATCCAAAGTTTTGTTTTGTTACTAAGGTTCTGGATTTGGGGTTTAGGATTTAGGGTTTAGGATTTAGGATTTAGGGTGTAGGATTTAGGGTTTAGGATGTATAATTTTGAGTTTGAGGTTTAGGGTGTAGGATTCAGGATTTAGGGTTTAGGGTTTAGGACCTTAGCAGCGAGCTCCAACATCCCTTCCAGCATAATCCCAATGAATCCCTGCAGTTGCTAGGGGCCCCCTCGTCTCAGCAACCCGCATATCGATTTTAAGTGGGGCGGCTGCGAGAAGAGTTGCATCGTGAGGAGGGTCCCTATAGTAGCACCTGTAAATCCCTAAGAATATGGTAGGTCAGATCCATGTTCTTTCTCCATGGCTGGCAACCAGCGACCTAATCCTAAACCCTACATATCCCTATAACCCTCCAGTTTCCATATGATTTCCCCTGTTCTTTTCAATCGGTTTCCATTCTGCAGCTGGGGTATAGGGTTTAGGGAGTGAGCCAGGTGTTCTGAGTTAGAGTTTCCATGGGTCTAGGGTAAGGGTTCCCAAGAAAGTCCACATATACAACCATAATTCCTTCTATAGTATAGCATTTTGGGGCATCATTCCTTAATAGTTGTATACATGGACCCTCTGGGTTCCTTAACCCCACACAATGTGAAGCACCGGGCGTACGAGGCTCCGAAAGTGCACGAGTAGCAGCGTCAGCCCTAAAATTTTCATGATATGCTCAGCGCAGTATATGTAGGGCACAAAGCTTCAGCAATGAAGCAGCACAAAGCTCTAAGCCCTTAAAGCCTACAACTTAAGTGGGCCAAGCAAGGTCCCGCCAGGTTTATCGCCCTCGGAGCTCAGCTTTACCAGAAGCCAAAAGAATGGCGTTTCTGAACATCTAAGCACTTGACCCTTTAGCCCTATCCCTGCATATGCCACAACCCTGAACATACCCAAAACTCTAAACTCGCAAGCCCTAAGCTCTACAACCTCCCTTTAGCTTCCCAGGCTTGCCAAGTAGATTTCCCGAGCCCTAAACCCTATCGCCCATGCATTACGAATGCTGGAAGTATGACACCTCGTCTGGGCCCAGGGATCCCAAGGGCACATTAACCTTCAACCCTAGAGCCGAAAATCTGAAACCCCAAATCCTAAACCCTAAACGTGCCTAAACCTTGAAGTTTAAACGTTGAATCCTACGGCCTAAGGCCTAGCTACCTTAAATCCCAAATCTTAGAGCCTAAAACCCAAACCCTAAAACACGAACCCTAAACCCTGAATCAAATCCTAGACCGCAGATCCTAAACCCTAAATCTTGAGCGCTAAACCGCCCAGTGCCCTAAATCCTAAACCGCGTCAAGGAGATGGCCTTCACTGCTCGAACCCAGGCCCTGGGAGACATGGACGCCCAACTCTCGGCGCGGCTGGACGACGTGGTGGCGGCAAGTCAGGCGCGCGGGCAAACCCCCGGTTTGGAGGTTTTAGTGTTTAGGGGAATTAGGGGGCTTAGGGTTTAGGTTTTAATGGAATTAGGGGGTTTGGTGTTTTTTAGGGGTTCAGGGATTCAAGGGTTCAAGGGGTTTAAGGGTTCAGAAACCCTACAAGCCCTAAACCCTAAACGCTAAACCACGTGGATTTCAGTAAGTCTGTGTCCGCAGGAGGCCATGGACAATCTCCGGGATGCCCTCTCGGCGGAGACGGGAAGGTTTCTGAGCAAAACTTAGCCATGCCATGTGATGCAGGGCCCCCTCGTTTAGGGTTTAGAGTTTAGGGTTTAAGGTGTAGGGTTTAGGGCTTAGGGGTCCTTAAGACAATGCAAAGCCACGCCCCAGTTTGCAACACAAGTTCACCGGGCCAAGATGAACATGAATTTTCTTAAGACCGACCTGGGCAGATCATCCTCACCCGACCTCCTCCCAAGCGGTGGTGTACATAGAAAACGCCACGAGCCTGACCTTATCTGGCCTTTGAACTGTTTTAGTTTTTCCTGCAGTAGGAACAGGTGGTCTTAGGCTTGAGCATGCAGTTCTTCAGCTGTGTAGTGCCGCCCAATGTCACTCCCTTGTCTTCAGTTCATGCTTTGGACTTGCCCAGAGCAAGGATCAGGGTGCTTTGAGGTTTATATGGTGTTGGCAGACCCCTAGTTCTGGAAGAAACGCATAGTGTTGTGATGGCTTGCTATTTCGGATGGCATTGCCGAAGCCTCATAGCCGAGATTAGAAGCTTTTCTAGAAATTTCAAGCGATGTCCTAAAGGAGCGCGTGCCAACATTCTCAAACCGTCATTGGTGGACCCTAAACCCTATACACAAGTGGACGGTAATCCTGGAACCGCGTGCTTCAAGCCTCACCTCCTTGACCCCAATCCCGCAGGCTGCAGATAGCCCCATGTAGATACCATGTATAGAGTTCAGTAGGGTTTAGGCTTAAGGACTCAATGTAGGCAATTGTTTCTAGACTAGAGCCCCAAGGGAATGCCAAACCTTTGACTCCAAATCCTAGATTCCGTGTTTTGGCATCTGTTCCGGCCCTTTCCTTGGGCTCTGCAGAACACCCAAACACCCACTTTGAAACCCCCAAAACCCTACACCTCTTTAACCCTAAACCCTTAAAGCCTGAACCCTTAAACCCCTAAACCCCCAAACCGTAAACCCTAGACCCTTAACCATAAAGCCTTAAGCCCCCAGACCCTAAACCTTGGATCCTAAACTGCGGGGATTCTGGGGCTACTCATTGCTACAATCGGCTACAGCATGGTTATAATGGGCCTAGCCCAAATGCTGAACACTAAGTGCTGCATCAAGATGCCACCAAGCTCCAGAGTCCCTGAAACCAAGGCAGATTTGTTTGGGGTTTAGGGTTTAGGGTTTAGGGCAGCAAGGCAGGTCTGGTAGGTTGTGGGCTATTGGTGTTTCGCGGCAACGTCTTAATAACCGCGTCCCATGAAACGATAGCGACAAACTGTGAATGGTCCCCGTCGCTGTAAATCAGAAAAAATTGCCGCGAAATTTCAATATTATGGTAATCCTTTTCCCCTATAGTAACGGCTCCCCCCCGCCCCCCCGCCTCCCCCTAAGGTAGATACTCCCGCCCAAATTTAAGAAATATTAGGGGGAGGGGAATTAATCGTACGACCCGAACATAGGGGGTGGTAATAAAGTGTCATTAAGATCGTACAAAATTCGATTAAATCTAGTAATTGGACTTATTAGGGACTATTTCAAATTTAGGGCCTTATTAGGGACTATTTCAAATTAGGGCCTTATTAGGGACTATTAGAAATTAGGGCCTTTTCTAGGGACTATTTCGAATTCGGGCCTCATTGGGGATTATTTGGAATTAGGGCCTTCTAAGGGATTATTTCAAATTAGGGCCTTATGAGGGACTATTTCAAACTAGCGCCTTAGTAAATGCTCTTCCAAATCAGGGCCTTGGAATCTGTTTCTGGAATTCTTCTATATAGACTCCTTTATAAACACCATTCAAAAACAATCAAAATCTAGGAAATCAAGGAGATCCCTAATCCTTAAGACTCGTGCTAAAACCGCCTAATTCAGAGGATCCGAGCCGCAATTAGTTTTAGTCTGGGCCCTTTTAAGAATAGTCTTGGGGGCGTTTTTTTTTAATTTTGGAATGTTGGCGAACCTGTATTTAATATTGCAGGGGTTTAATGTTAGGGGGAAGCAATCACTAAAGTTTCAGCTCCCCGCATAATATGGCTCCTTGCATAAAAAGCAATTACTAGCTTGGGCTCCCCGTATACTATGGCTCTTTAATAAAAGGTACGCATTATCTGACCATGATTGTAACCTTCCACATGTATTTGGGGATTGGCATAAATTCGCTATAATCCGGGTCCCTATAGTGGGGTTCCTATCACACATCGTGCCCCTATCGAAAACTCCTCTCCTTGGGGACACTTGTTTCAGGTCCTCACCTAAAGAATCTACATCCTAAACCTAACTCCTAGCCCGAAATCCTGAGGCCCAAATCCTAAATCCTAAGCCCTAAGTCCGAAACCCTAAATCCAAAGCCCTAAATCCTAAACCCCAAATCTTGAGCCATAACTCCTAAACGCACAAGCAGGGTTTTTCTGAGGTTGGTGGAGCGCTTCGGCCAGGTCCAGGACATTTTCACCATGGAGAGTTTGAGTAGCAGTTTTTTTTGCGTTTTGGGATTTAGGATTTAGGAATTTATGGAGTTTAGGGTTTAGAGTTTTGGGTTGAGGGTTTAGATTTTAGGGTTTAGGGTATACGGTTTAGGGTTTGGGATTCAAGTACCCAAGCGTTGGGCACGTGGACCCTCAGGGTGGAGACCCAGTTTCGCTATAACTTTTCATTGTTGGGGCAGCCCCCCCATTCTGAATCCTTATACGCTGTGTGACCCTGTTCAAACCCTTTATACTGGAAGCACCTAAACCCTTAACCCGAAACTTCCATTTTCGCATCTCGTAGTATTCCCCTTACAACCAGTCTATAGAATCGGCCGGCATTGGAAACACCTAAACCCGAAACCCTAAACCCTTGCCCTAAACTTTCGGGGTCATGCTTCGCAGGAAAGGTCTGGTAAAAAAAACCTCATGCCTGAACCCCAAACCCTGAACCCTAAGCCCTAGGCCCTATACCCCCAACCCTAAAACCTTAACCCTAAGCCCCATAGACCAAACTTTCATTCTCATCGGGTTGGCCGGCAGGATGATGTCCAAGCGATCGAAGCGGAGGTGCTCCGCCGCTGCGAAGATATGGGCGAGGCTGAGCTTTCGTGTTTAAAGGGGGTGGATATAATATAATATAATATAATGTAAATATGTAATATTCGTCTATCTATCTATAGAAATCGAACAATACGTGAGTGTGTATATATATACACATACAACATACTATCTCTATGCATATTAATAAACATATATGTATCGCATACATAGAGAGAGATACAGAAGGGTTTTCACAAGTAGGACTCAAGCTTTTCGCCGGTATGCGTCAGGTTCGCACACGGAGTACTTCACGAGTCAAAGCCTACCAGACGCCTCACACAGTTTGTGCGTTTCATGTTACTGCCGAACTCTGCAAACAGAAGGGGTGATGCGCATATTTGGGTTACATTGGGGTAATGGAAACAAATGGGAAACTACTATATTATAGGGTTTAGGGTTTTATGTGGAGATAAGTTTCAATACCATGTCTGGATGGACCCTGGTGCTGGCCCCTACCCACATGTGTCTCAAAGAATTTGTTTCAACAGAAGCTTCATCTACCCACAGCATCCTCATCATTTTTTGCCAGAGACCTGTCTACTTGAACTGCATTGAGCACGTCTGTTGCGGTTTTTGTAAATATGCATACATATATATACATTATATATATATACATATATATATATATGTAATGTTGGGGTCCCCTCCTGCGAGTCCCTATCATCCGGGTCACACTATATTGCACTCTATAGTGGGGCCCCTGTTGATGGAAACGGCCATGTGGGTGCCGCAAGTTTGTCACACACCCGGAAGACTTCCTAAAACCAAAACCTTGAGCCCTAAACCCAAACCCTAAAGCCTGAACCCGAAACCCTAAACCCTGAACCCTAAGCCCTAAACCCTAAATCCTAAACCCTAAGCCCTACAGCCTAGACCCGAAGCCCTAAATCCTAAAGCCAAAAAAACCCTAAAGCCTAAGCCCTAAAGCCTAAACCCTAAGCCCTACCTGGGAAGCCAAACACCCG